CCCTGCTCCGCTGCTGCCCAGCCCTGTCCTTCAGCACAGGTCTCGGGGCACGCAGGGAATCACCCCGCAGGCAGCCCTTAGGCAGGCTCAGACACCCGTGTCTGCCACACAAACTGGCATCGTGACACGGCAGGAGGTCACGCTAGCTGCAGTGTGTTATTCTGCAACACGTAATCATGCTGTTAAATCGAGATAATGCATTTATAAAAAACAACATTGTAATAACTGGTTCTGCTATGAACAAGTTTTGCATTTAGCCTGAGCAACACATTTCAAACACTGACTCAAGTCTTTCAACTTATCAGTAAAGTATTTTTAGAATTTGGATGAGAACGAATTACCAGATTAAAATCATGGCAGGCTCGCTCTCTCTTCCCTTTACAGTGTAGTAAAACTCCAGGATATACTACCCGGAATAAACATTTAAAGCAGCTCTTATTTGGTACGTTTTGCAATTCCTAATATTTAAACTCCGGGAGTCATGAGAACCGCTGAGGACAGGGAGCGCGACGGCACGGCGGGCAGGACTGGGCTCCAGGGCCAGGGCAGAGCGGGACGGCGCGCGGCGCTCCCCAGGAATTCCAGCCAGAAGAGCCCCACAGGGGCCTCCGTGTTACGAGAGAAAGACAAGACCCAGGTTGCCTAGATATGAGTACACAGAAGCTAGAAAGAAAGAAAGAAAGAAAAAAAAAAAGAATAATATAAGATTCATCTCAAAAGCAGCTGGAGGCAGCAAAGGTAGCTGGTTTCAGCAAGAGAGCTGCTCAGGTGTGTTCACAGGGCTCCTGATTCTGCACGCTGGCCTCATTTCCTTCCTGCATCCCGGAATGTTACCAACGAGCAAATAAAAATGGTAATTTACCTTCAAATTTAGTATTAATTTTGCTCCAGCTTTAGGGTTAATGATGTGCGTATGAAACTGAAATGCTCAGGATGTAGACCATGTTAACACGTAACCTCGTGCACATTCTTGTTCAGACTTATTTTTAAGTGTTTAAACGTGTTTTGTAGGCATAAAGGCTTGGTGCTGATCCCTAGGGTCAATATTTATGCATCTCTATATAAAGAGCACTGTACACGTACATGAAAGAGCACGATGCTTTCATTTCCTCCTACGTGGCAGATTCACAGGAACTTCTTACTGAAGATGAAAAGGTTTTCAGCTTCAGCCACTAAGGTTTAAAAACACTGTTATTAACTCCTTGGTGCCAGAAGCTAGAACATTACCACTTCAAAAGCAATTTAGAGTTTAAGGCCAATGAGATAAAGATAACAGTGGTCTTGGTCTTATTTTTGGTCCTCGAACCTATGAATATTGCAGGGAAGCCTACAGACCTGCAGCACTGGCACTGCCTCATGTTTTATAGCCTGCAGTTTTAGATAAAGCCTCATGCTATATAAAACTACTTTCCCTGTATGTTTGTACTTTTCTGAGGGCTCCCTTTTCACTGTTGCATCTTGGATAATTTCCCTTGTTTTAAGAGATCAGAGCGAGGCTAATGTAGAGTGCAATACAAATCCTTCCCACCCTGGGAATCCTAATTGCTTAAGCCTGGCAAGAGCTGAGAACATCACTGATGCCAGATATTCCTTCGCCTTTTCATAGGGAAGGAGTCAAGCCCCAGGGACATGGTATGAGGAAAGGCAATCTCCAACAATCCCAGATGTGGTTAATTGCTTCTTTTGCTGGAAAGAAACCTCCACTGATCATTCAGGGTTAACACACCATCCTCATGTGATATCTGCCTCAAGAAACATGGGAATGGCAAAGGAGTCTAGTCTGGGTAAGGTCAGGATAAAGAAGGATAAAGTTGTTGTTGCTGTGAGTGGCCAAGCAACTGACAGAGCCAGTAGATGCCTCAGGGACTCGACACGTGTCATCAGAACGAGCCAGTCGTGTTTCCCCCCGCTGCCCCGGTCAGGGTGACATGGTAAAGCCAGGGCTTCCTCTGCCCAGAAGAGGTGGTGTCTGGAAGCTGATCTGGCAGATCGTAGACCAAACAGTGTCTCCTTTGGAAAGCCCTGGCCTCGCCTGAACCCGAGTGCACATCGGGGATGAATCTTTAATAGCAAGATGGTTCACAGGCCCTGCAGCAGGGTGGACACACTCATTCCCTGATAGTCAGCTCCCTAATTAGTGGTGAGACTGCTGGTAAGACTGCCAGGAAGCAGGCTTCATTTCCTGCTTCTACAGGAAAAAAATCACCATATGATTTAAATCTGTTTAAAAATGTTGTCTAAACAACCATGCTTTCTTCTCATTTCTACCAAAAAAAAAAAAAAAAACAATTTGTAGACTGGGAGATTAAAAAAACCCAAATGAAAATACCAAAGCCTATGTGCCTAGGGAGAACTCAAGCTTGCTGCACAATTGCGGCCCATTTCCTGCTGTTTCTCCGGAGCTGCTCCACGGGCAGAGCTTTTCCAGATGTAACTGTGACCAGGAGCCTGGCTGCAGCAGAGGTGCAGCCGCTCTGCCTGCACGGAGAGGAGAGGACGGGGCTGCAGGGATGGGGCTGTCCTCCTGCTCGCTATCTATCACCTTCTGTGTGAAAAGAAACTTAGTGCTTCTTTCAAGGAAACAATCTGCATGTTTTTGCTAAAGAAGCATCCTACTAATTAGCCCCAAACTTTCTCCGTAAGTCTCCAACGGCTAGAGGCAAAAACCACGACAATACCTGACATCCAATTTATTTATTGGTTTGGTGCCCTCTTGCTCCTGTAAGTTAAGTCTGAGGTTTGGAAGAAGTGTGAGTGTAGCCTTGTCCTGACCAATATCAGTTTATCTAGAAATTTGCTAATAACATGCAAAGAAAGAAAAAATAGTTAATAATTGTCTGATTACTTTTCTTTTTTAAAGAAAAAAGAAATGGCATTACTTCAGGTATTTGAATTGCTATATGTTAAAACCAGACAGTCATTTGTAGAAGCCCATGTACATCATGTTGTATTCCCATATACTAATCACTAAGAAAATCAAATCTATAATTTGAGCAAATGTAGTATGTACTTCAAGCTATTGTAATATGTATGTTATTTTATCCTGTATAGCTTTGAACAGATGTTTTTTACCTGATGAAGTGCTCCTGCTGGTAGAATAATAGCATCACCGAGAAACTGAATAACCGTACAGGTTTTTACTCCGTATTCTTCAAAAAGTCTTTGGCGAAGTTTTTTGTTCACGTACCAACTCTGATCACGTATTGGATCGTGCTCTGGTAGAACTTCTAGGCCTTGTTCTTTTGCTATCTGTAAGCATAGGAAAGATCCCAAGTTACTTTTAAAAAAAGAAGTTCCTTTCTGGTAAATTAAACATATACCCTAGTTGAGAGTACTTTGCTTCCACTACCCTGATTAGAATTTTTGTTAGGAATTCAGAAGGACCTCAAAGGAATTGAGAAGTCCCACTGAACAGAGGATATCTGCAGGACTTCCATGCCAAAAAAGCAGCAACGTCCTTAAAGATTTCAGCATAACAGTCTATTAGCAGGCAACGTGCTCCCTCTCTGTGACTTCTTCTATCAGAAAGCAGCATCTGCTCAAAGAGCTCTCATGCTGTCAGTTCCTCGAGCTCAAATCTCCAGCTTTGACACAGCCCTACTTGGGATAAAGGCAGTGGCTAATGCTAACATTTTTATGTGGTTTATTTTGCTACCCACGTGGCAAGGAATTCAGAAAACATGATGGAAAACCAACAATACTTCCTGAAAGAGCAACAGACTTCACTGCAACAATCATTCCCTGTTAAGTTAACCACAAGGGAACAAGCACTAGTCCTAATCAATTGCTAATTACTGAACCACAGTGACTAAAGGAGAAAAAAATATCAAACCATCTGTCACAACTCAGGAGACAACTGTCTCATGGAAGACAGATTTTTCTTCACACTTACGTTAAACATACTAAACTATCTGATGCAGAACTTGGAAAGGTAATTAATACATAACAACCACCTCTGGAACTCTGTACTAGAAAAAATACTGAGATTTGATCTCCTACCAAGAGGCAAAGCGGAACCCTGTGACTACACAAATCATAAGCCTGTATTTCAATTCATCTCCATTTCAGCATTTCAAAAACATCACCACACCAAAAGTACAAGATGGCACTCAACCCAGTTTTAGCTACCGCAGCAAGCTGTGACAGCAAATGCAAAGCTAATTACAGAGCATCTTAAAAGGTTTCTTTTTGTTTTTATCCTGCTGCCTTGTGAGTCTCTCAATGTGCCCTAACTGCTGTGAAAGAAACCCTGAATAATGTTCGTGCCTGTCTGCTCCCTTGCAGCCATGATTTGGTCTGTCATAACTCCCCACAGTTGTGACTTTTCCACGCTGAAGAGCCCTAGTTGTGCTCAGTGAGATTCTGCTTCTTGAACAAACGGAAAAGCCCATGTTTCCATCCATAATCTCCTCCTCCTGGCTGCCTTTTGCTTGCTACTGCCCATTTTTCTCAAGATTTTAGCTTGCTGCAGGACAAGTGTTCACCAAGAGACATTCCTCCTGGGGTCACCTTGGGACCAAAACCTACAGAGATGCTCTCCTGAAGAATGGAGCGCGGCTTCTTACGCCCTTCCTGCTCGCAGGAGACACGTCAGCCTCCAGCTTGTTTATGGAACATTTTTGTTTAACTAGTTAAAGTTCATGTAAAATATCCCCGCAGTAGAGGACACTGAAGACATCTTTAGTGGACTTTTCCTCAAAAAACTTCAGGGTTATTTTGGGTATTTATAGGTAATACGTCAAAACTGCTTTTTAGAACATGAAAAAGTGATAATCAGGGCATGGAAAACTAAGCCCCTACTTGACAAGTGATGAACTGAGAAATCCAGACTTGTGCCTCCTGTTTCATGTAAAATGATGTGCACAGTAGCTGCTGCTGAATTTTGCCCTTGGTACGCTCTCCCCACCGCTTTCATCTTCACTAAGAGACAAGGCACGTTCTTCATGAGAGCTGAACCAACACGATACAGAGTATTTATTAAGATAGGCAGCTGCCCTCTTTTTTTTTTGGCATGTGATTAAAAAGCCACAAGTATTTCAGTGTGTGATAACACAAGCATGGACCCGGAGAGCAAAGGCAACAAGGACACACAAATGAACGTCTTGAACGAACTGTGGCAGTGAAGCCAATCTTCAACAGTGACAGAGGAGCATTATCCTTTGTATTAGGAAAGAACAAGAGTAGATCTACACGTTCTCCTCAATCATTAAAATTTGGAGACTACCTGTAGCTTTTATAGATGAGTACATGAAGTACTGTGTTTGTTGCCTGATGTGGCATGGCATTCAGGGAGGAAAAGAATACACCCATCAGAGCATCTCATTAACACATCTGTACTCACCAGTGACAAGAGAGTAACCATGTGCATTCTGTACCACAGTAGCTTTCCACAATTACTAGCCCATGCTTAGATGGGCTAGAATTAACATTTACTGGTACTCTTAAACAATTCTGGGATAAACCTAATACCTGTTTGCAGGACAGACTCTTTATGACTCCCAACTACAATGCTGGTTTTCTCAGTTTATATCTTCTGAGCATAACAGAACTTCCCTTCAATAGATTTTAGATCAAAGTTATGTATGCAGTGTGGAAGTTTTATTCTAATTAAAAAAAAAAAGGTCAAGGTTTGCAAAGAAAATTATCTTCTATCTATTCTTTTGGCTATGGTATTGTCTGCAAAAAACAGAAGTCACAATTTTCACCTCATAAAATACGTCCATTTACACTGGAAACGTGATTGATCCCATAATAACTAGCAAGTCTAATTCTTCAATGTCCAGAGAACTCTTAAAAGTCTTTAGCTAAGTACACATTGTAAAGATCATCTATTCCATAGAAATTAGAGCATTTAAAACAGTACTTACAGGTCACTTTTTTCAAGGGCTTTCGTATATAGGATCACTAAAAGCTTTTCATGCAGGAAGAATCTTCTTTTCTAACCTAAATATAACCATCCCTCAAATTCTGCTCTACCGTTTCAATGCCAAGGGAACAACTTTCTCAGGCAGAATGCAGCACTTCACATTACTCTTTTATTTGAGGGGAAAAAAAATGGAAAGAAGCACTGACAGGGCTCAGCAGGAGAACGAAATTCTGCTAGATTCTTTTTGAGACTCAGAGGCATCTGCTCTTCTCTCTAAGCCATGGGCAGGGTTATTCCTCACGGGGTCTGCAACTGGAATACACTGCAACTCCACCTCTCCAGAGCTGCCCTTTGGAAGACGCTGTTCTGGAGGAAATCTGTGGAGCATGCAAGGCATTCTGCCTGCTACTTAATCTTATATCCTAATATAAGGCAAAAATTCTGGGGAGGGTAAAAGCTGGTTCACGGAATCTAGCAATTTTTTAAAGATTGATCAGTAAGGCACCCCTCTCAAACTCAACTGTCCCAGCATTATAGGGCATCAGCCCTAAGTTGGATGACCTTGAAATAACTGAAGACTGATCTTCCCACTGGATGTGCACGTGTGTCACAGAAGTGCGTAGTAGCACCTGGTCTATTTTAAATTCATTTATGGGGTATAAAGGATTTTGATTCCTTCACCCCCGAGGCATAAATTTAGCAAACAGAACCAGGGTTGTGGTCACCAGAACACATAGGCAGATGTAGGACAGGAGGACTTTTTGCCCCTCCTCGACCTTTAAAGGGTTATTTAAATAATATAATCTAAATCAACATCTGTTACAAAGCCAACCTTTTGCAGAAACTCCCTTATCTTGTCAGCATCTTTGCCAGCATAAATGTGCCACAAAGCACCAGGTAATTCACTTGAATCTTTCAATCTCTTCCTTAAAAGATCATCCAAATCTTCTTCTTCAAACTTCTTCAATACTCCTAAGATTTAACAAAAATACTTTTAGGAAGAAATACAGAGAAAAAAACCTGCAATGACACACCTTCTTTGCAAGCATTTTGTGGGAGACTAAGCAGATAAAATGCTTACTAAAAAAACTAAAGTACCTCAGATGATCTTTTTGTTCAGTTTTTGTATTTAGGAAGTTAACAGAACATGAATGCTGAAGTATTTTTAAAACAGTGATAATGTTTTCTGTTTTGTTTTTCTAAAAGTTTCTTGAATTTGACAGAATGCATTCTCCTGCCTGAAATAAACAAGTAGGACAGACAGCAAAAAGTCAAGAGAGGATAAAGGTCTTTTTCTGCAGTCAGCAAAAGCCACATATTCTGCTTGCTGTTCTGCAGCAGCTGGTCAAGAAACTTTAGGGCTCTCCTGATACACTGCAGCTTTTGCTGGCATTAACTCTGCACGTGCAAGTGAAAACACAGCAGATAAAAGATGGCAAACCCTACTGGAGTTCTACTAGACATATGCAAAAATCTACATCTGCTGATTATGGAAATCAAGCAGAAACAAACAACAAAAAAAAGAAACAGAACAACTTCAGTGACTTAAAAGCTTTTTCACATGAGCAAGAAACCATATGCAGAGGACTAGTATACACGAGTTTACTCTCTCCAGCACTAAAAAATGACACTGCAGTTCAAATTCAACAGAACAAACAGCACACCCAGGGGCAGCAGACTAAACACAGGCCATTGCAAATTCATCATCCTGACATAACTGTTAGACTTAGCACAGCTTCCAGAGAAGATCCTTTGTCCTGTACTTTCATTAGCTCTGCCAGCTTCCACATAGCACTGGTGTATTAATTACAGGTCACAGCAGCAAAAAAAAAGTGAAAGGAGTTTGACATGCAATTGTGTAACTCCTGAACTCCATGTATTTCATGCACAATTAGTTTGCTGTGTAAGAATCTCTCCTGAGATAAGGAATCTTCGAGATGTAAGAAGTACTTAAGGACATGTTTCACGCATCCATTTCAAACAAGCAGCATCAATTGAGAAAGTGGCACGTCATTCACTATTTGCATCTCTCACAATGAGCTTCCCTTACCTGATTTGGAAAGCACTCCGTTTCCCTTCGCTATGCCAACGTAAACCAGGATGTTTACTACATCGGAAACTTCAATATGGAGATTGGTAGTTCCTATATCATGATCTTTAGTAGCAGCCACACCTGTATTACAAGATAAAAATTTGGGGTAAAATTGAAATTCATGCAATCACATATTCACCTTCAAACAGAAATGTGCTACAGCTAACTGAGAAGAAATTTCTGACAGTTCAAGGAGAATTACACAGAAAAAAAATTATGTGCGGGCATGCTTTAATGTAAAAATATCGATATACACAAACTGCAAGTGTTTTTTGCTGTACTTTTAAGAAAGATCTCGAGATATCTCTCCACCCAGACAGATGTCCCTACATAGCTGTTTTATCAAAATAAAGCACATTGGAGCAGAATAACCAAAGACATTTCCTGACATCATCAGCTTTCCTTCTGAACTTTTCAACCTTTCAGGTTGCTCAGAGTAGAATGTAAGTAAAACAAATAAAGAAGGAAATTGTCATTTTATTCCTGAGTATAAAAAGAGTTCATAACTAAAAGGAATACTCAAGCAAAGAGAAAAATACGATAATTTTAGTTCTGACATGAAAAAAAGCACACGTCGAGGAGACATTTCAGGACACTAAGTGGCACAGCAGCATTACATATAAGGGTCATCAAAGATTCAGTTTCTCAAACCCACATCTCGATTAGTATCTTTATTATGTTTATTTCGGAAGACATCTGGAAAACTTTTTAAATCAAAGCCATCACACCAGAAATAACAACTCATTTCTCGTGCTATTAAGTCAATTTGTAAAACATAACTGAACAAATTTGTTTGCAAAACGAAGAGCAGCCGGAAGAGGTCTGAGGAAAGTAGACTGGTCTAGACAACATTTTGAACACTACACCAACACAGAAGCAAAATTACAAGAAAAAAATGCTGTTTTTTCTTTATTATCGAACTTATGAACATACCACCACTCATGAAATATTTTGTCACACATTATTATTAACACAGGAACTATATTTGTATAAAAATAACCACCCATTTACATGCTTCAAAAGAATGTAACAGCACTAGAAATGATTAAATGAAATGCATTAAATGAATATGTCAATCTCATGCTTTAGTGACATGCACTATTAATGAGCAAGGCACAGGATTTCTCCTACATTCAGCCACTAATAATCCTCCTTATCAGCTCAGTTTTCTAGCCAGCATTAACACATGATACATTACACCTCCAAGGGAAACACTCCACCTCTGAGGGATACTCACCATAGGCACTGCACAGTCTGGGCCCCAAATCTGGACGGACAAAAAATCCTGGCAGATGAGAAGCCAAGTTTAATTTTCCTTCTGGACTGCAATATTCAGGCAAAGGTAAACTTTTTAATAGGTCTTCATATCTGTAGGAGAAAAGGCGCGAGACTACAGTTGAATTTATGCCACTATGAAGCGAGAAAAAAAACAATATAGAGATGACCTTAAGAGTATCTGAATCTTAAATGCAATTACCTTGCTGGCATCATAGCCTTGAAATCTTCACCAGAAGGCCAATCTTTCAATTTTAGTAGAGCCGTTTCCCCATTTTTTATTTTCTGCCGTTCTGCAAGTAACACACAAAATTATTAAGAACTAATACACTCCAGATGTTAGATTCCACTACAATGTTCAGCTGAACTCTAACCTCTCTATAAAGATTTCATACATAAAAGAAAAGATAATTAATTTAAAGAAATTCAATTAGGAGACAAAATCTCAAGTAGTTAAGAACAATGACATTCATTTGGATTCTAAGTCTGATAATAACTTACAAAATGGTATGTAAGTGTACGTTTAATGCTACAGAGGTACAAAATGCAAGCTTCCATTCTCTTCTCTTGAAACACATTATATAGAGCTTTAAAAGAAAGAAAAAAAATTCTTTGAAGCTTTAAGATCTATAAAGAAAGATTTTAATTGCAGTTTCTGACATTGACCATGTTTAGAATCAAAAGAATAATACATTTGAAGTAACCTACTTGAAACATCTTCAAAACCATCCCAGAACTCCTTGACATTGGTGTTTGAAATAATGCTGTCTTTGCAATTCAAGATATCAGCTTGCTGGTTTCCAAAATCTAGACTAATTGATTCTGCTTTCCACAAGCTGAAGTTCATTTTCTTATGCATGCCGGACACTAATACAGGCTTAAAATAAATAAATAAATACAAATTAATACTCATCCTTTCTGAATGAAAGGCTTGCTTCAATTAAATTGGCATGTGAGAAGTATTTGAAACATGCAGTGAAGGCCTTGGCCCTCCTGAGCTGCTAACACCACTTCCAATGACAGCAACATATCCAGAGACTTCACACAACTCTTTAACGATTTAACCTTTAACAGTCATTTCTTACTCATTATTAGCAATTAACTAAAATTTAAACTATGCAAAGTTCTTATGTGTCATTTCCCTGGCAAATTTTTGCCCACTGCAATAAAATGCACTGACGATACCTTTTTAAAGGTGAAGTCAGGCAAACTTTGCCCTGTTGCAATAACTCCTCGGAGTTCGTTCTGAGGTCACCTTTTAGAGAGGATTAGTCTTTGATACCTACCCTCCCTTGTTTCCAGCACTCTTTGAAGAGCTTCCAGTTGTTGCTGTTTTTATGGTCTCTGAGCCACAACACATGCTTATCACAGATCCAAGAATACTGAATATCATTGTACAATTTACTGCTGTCATCTAGAACACATTTTCTATCATCCTTTGGCTCATCTTTTATTTCAGATTTTACATTTATCTTTGGTGTCCTATTTGGTGGAATCTTGTTTTCTACCACTGAAGCAATTATGTCATCGAGAATGTTTGGCATGGTTCTTCCACTTTTACCACTCTAACAGAAAACAAACAAATTATGTTTAAATAATGTAAAAGCAGATAAAAGTTAATGGAATACTTTCTTCAGCAGAATATCAACAATACTGCATTATCAGTTCTTAGTCACCTACTTCCCTCACAGAAAACTGCATGCACTCTTAGGCAGAACAAATTAGAAAAATACAGTTACAACAAATCTCAGAATACTGCAATCTTGCTTTACATTGAGTGAACGGTTTATTTAACTTCACAACATATTCTTCATAATATGCATCAATTACCACTAATTATATAAAAATATATACATATTTGTGCCTGCATATATACACACATACATGTTAATGGATACATATGTGTATGTGTGTGTGCAAGCATGTATAAATGTTGAATCCTTCAAGGAAGCTGCAGGGAGGTTTTACTTCTAAATTAGTATTTAGCGCAACACATTTATCAGACCATCTAAAACGTACAAAAACACACAATACAGATTATAAAATTCCAATATGAAAATGATGCATCTGATAACACTCACTGGTGTTCCTGTGGAGTAAACCGGAGCAAAAGCAATACCCGCATCGGTAGAACCTAGACGTAGTTTGCCTGCTGTTGTAGTTAGTAAATCTCGTAAGGTTGAACCCTGCTCATTGTTCTGGGATGCAGGAGGAGAAGATTTACAGTTTGGGGACTCTGAATTATCCTGGTCTTTTTCTTCCTTTGAATGTTTTCCAGAAGGACATTCTTTATTCTCTAAAACAAAAATATTGATTGGAAGTTCACACTGTTGTATCATGACATAACACATAGAAACAGTACTGGCACCCTGCATTTTATAGTGGTGGTAATACAGCGTAGCACGAGCACTTTATTCGCCTGGAAACACACCAGCAGATGAACTAGATCCTTCAAAATGCAGTCAGACAGTGTGACCATGAACAGACCTTCCTCAGCATCTCACACATGCAGCTGAGTGAGTATCTGTCACAAATGAGAGATGCTATAGCTGCAAATACTGCCACACTACACATGCATTCTACTAGGGGCTCTTCTGGTGACTGATTTTCATGCCACCAGGAGAAGGTGTTGAAGTTTCAAAATTGAAATTAAGGAGAGAAAAAACATTTTCTTTACTTTTTGCTAAACAGAAAATATCACGGAGTTTTCCTAAAGAATTCATTTACCTATTAGTGACGCCCGCCCAGATCACGCACATGATATGTGAGTGTCAAGCATATACCTTTCTTTTCTTCTCTGGCTTTCTGCTCTGCCAGATCCGCTAACCAGTGCAGCGGCGACTGCGATTCCGGCGGCGTGAGCTTGCTGTCTGTGCTCACGTCACTCCTGGGACTGGAGTTCCCATTTGTCTCCGACTTTGGGGGGGTGTTCTGCTGCTGAGACTCGGGCATGCACAGAGAGATTTTATTACTGTGATTGAGGACATTCTGTAAAACCTGTAAAGAACAGATAGATCATTTTCTTAGTGTATGCCATTTGTCTTCAACAAAAGTCAGAGACCACATTTAATCATTGTACATGCTAATTAAAATATGACTGATCCTGTTCACATATAAAGATATGTAAGTATCAGAAGACGTGAATAACAAATTACAATCAACACACATGTTTTAAGCTCACCTGAGATACGCCATTCATTGCAGGAAGCTTGCCAGCTTGCAGGCTCTGTTTGGTTGTACACTGACAATGGGATTTAATTTCAAATTTTTCTCTAATATTATGCATTGCATCTAGAAGATCTGTCAAAACTAGACGACATTTAAGAAGAAAATAATCAGTAATCCTCTTGTCAATCATTTTCTGGCTTTCTTCACAATATAAATACTACAGTGCTAAAAAGTTATTTGTAAACCTTTTTGAAATTTCAACTATTAATAACGCCTAATTTAACACTTCAAAAATACCAAGGACTCTCTGCTTTACCTTAAAGCTTGTGCAGAAAGAGATGAAGTCTTTAATTAAATAATTACATATTAGGCTTTTGAATAATCTACGCTTCACTCAGCATCCCCATTTTATGGCACACAACAAGCAAGCCAGTTATTCATTATTTACTTTACACCCCATTGTTCAATGGGTGCATCACTGCCTCATTTAATAACACCGTCACACACAGACGGAAGTGAGCCATGGCTTGACAGAAAAATTAGGATCCGATCATGTAATTCAAGGCTGTTTGGCAATGGACATGAACAAAAGAACAAAACGGAGGTTATGCAGGCAGCCCTCACTGTGCTGTTTCCAGACGAGTGGCTCACTTCACAATTTAAAATTAAAAACAGTTTCAGTGGGGAACCTGTTCTGTGGAAATCACAGTCTGAATTTACTAGGCTGAATTTACTAGGCAGGCAGAGCAGACTTCACTTCTACTTGAAGTAACATGAAAAAAACCATGAAACACTGACTGTGTCTGTATTTCCAATTAAAATAACCTGGAAATCTATTTGCTAGGATTAAAGGCACATTCAGGCTTTCTTTCTCTGCCCTGCATTGATGCTATTAGAGATCACAAGTAAAGTTGGGCTAACAAAAACACAAGAGTACTTCTTCACATAAGCAAAATTCTGATGGGTTTGGGCTTACTGCTTAGTTTTGATTAACTGCTATCTTCTTTATTGTCTTTGGATTCGAGTGGTCAATCAGACATCCAAAGCAAAACTGCTCTTGGTGGGGGGAGGAAGAGGACACAACACGAAATTAAACTTCAGATATGCAAAGTTTTAAGAAATAGCTTTGTTTCTTAAACAAACCTAACAGGTCTTCTTAAAGACCAGAGAGCTGGTCTCTCTTCACAGAAAGACCCAGGGAACACGTGACAGCCTGCTTTTTTGTAGGGGTCTTACCAGAGCCAGGAATAATCTGAGTTGGCATCAAGTGTTTGTGATCGTGAGGCTGCCCCTTCACACACTTCATCCAGGCATACAGCTCCTTGTCTGCAAAAAAACAGTGCCAGTTGTTTACCTTTCGCTAAGACTTTATTACCTAGAAAGATACAGAGCTAGTCACCTGGTTTTGATTATTTTTAGCTTATATCTTTTTGTGTGGCCAAGTACCTGGCCACCGAGCTGCTGTGGCACTTGAGGGACAGGAATGCAACCTGCTCTCGTTTCCTGCTCTTACACAGCACCCACTGAACTCGACTGCTGCTTTTAAGAGACTCTTCAACTCTTTCCACCAGTTTTCTCAGCTCCAGCACTGTGAGCTGAAGAAGGCAGACTAAAAGAAGCATTCAGCACATCTACAACCCTCCTCCACTGTCACACAGATACAACGTACCAAATGTTCCTCTCAAACATTAGACGTTAGCTGTTTTGTAGCTTGCATAATTCATAAGACACTAAGCATATAACCAAATTTAAACAAAAACCGAACAGGAGTGATCTATTTAATGTATTTTTACCACTAAAATGTCATAAAATTGTACTCCACTTGATGGTGCCAGAAGCTGCCTGAAAGTAACAATGGATGGAGTAATGTGAAAAATCACTGATAAATACTGAATACTGAATACTTAAATGTCTAAAATTCCTACCGAACCAGTGGGAAATGAATGTTTTCTCCATTACATTTAGCAACCATAAAAACAACCACCAGTTCCAGGAAAAATGGTGTCACATGAAGGGTATTCCACAGGAGCGGGTGGGTGGCTCTGAGACGCTGGGGCGCTGCAGAGCAGAAGCGCAGGCAGCTCCGAGGCTGCTCCCGCCTCCACACAGCGCCGCGGCGAGGGAGCCCTCTCTGCTAGGGGCCCTCCAGCCTCTGCAGCCAGCCTCTCACAACTTGGAAGACATTTTACTAAAATTTTCCTGGCTGGTTAAAACACACACTATAAAAAGCCTCTGCCTGCCTGTTCCCAGTAGGGTAAGCGCTGTTCGGAGCGCATCCCGAGCCACGTCACACGGATGCACACACATGCGTGCGCAGCCCCGAGCCGGTTAGGGGCGGCTGGAGCAGCCTCCAGCATTAAAGCACTAGTGCCTGCTCTCGGCGCTGGAAAACACCACTGCTCCTTCCCCAGGAACTTGGGCTCGGATGAAAGGCTTGGGAACGGCCCAGAACCACAGAGTAGGAGGCCTCTCGCTCCAAGCCAAGGGACGGAGTGGGTGAGCGTTTCTCCGTTTATGCAAGCTTTGCCGTCTCCCGTTCCTTTGCCTCACCTACCTTTCACAGAGGCGACACTGTGCGTCGCTATGACAAACACGGAAGGGCTGTTCAAAGCAGCCTTGCAGCTGCAGGCGCTCCTGGCAGAGCGCTTCCCCGCAAGGCCCAGGGCCGCCGGCGCTGCCCGAGGCCGCCGCCGCAGCGGGCCTAGGCCAGCCTCCCTACCAGGCCCCACCTCAGCAGCCAGGCTGCTCACCGAAAAACTGCACGTGTTCCAGTTCCAGTCTTGCTCTTTCTCATCACACTCTATGCTAGGCATTTCTATTAAAGTACAGGAGACAGACTACACTAAGCACATATATAAGCTGTGGGATTTCAAAACATCCATAACACTCGTTTGAAGTACTTTGCAAAGTATTTTTCAATCTTACATTTTTATTATTAAAAAATAGGCTGTTAAGTCAGGCTCGTCAGCCAGGTACTCCTGGCAGGAGGGCTGCAGGCTGTACGTCTCCGCAGGGAGCTGCGGGACCGGCAGCCGCATCTCGCCTCGAGGCAGGAGGGGCTCAGGGACCCTGCCGCGAGCCTCACAAAGACGGGAAAGAGGACAAAGACCTAACGCAGCCCCTTTGCCATAATAGTGACCAATGCTGTATTTTCTGACTGCAAAAAAAAAGGTGAAAAAACTCTATGACACATCAAAGCCCAAAAACACTAATTTAGCATTAGGGAAAGCCAGAACGCCTGGGGACAAGCAGCACTACACGAGCTGCAGTAACCCGCGTCCAGACCAGGCGAGCTCATGCAGTACTGACCTCTCGAGCTTTTTCTTTCCTTTGCCTTATAACAATCGAGGCAAACCACAAATCCACATTTTTGGCAGACCCAGTGAATGTTAAATAATGTGGCTTCGCATGCATCACACATCTCACGGACTCCTCTCACTGCTCTCTTCCATGCGATTTTGGCTGAAATACAAAATAAGCAGAAGTAAAAGACTGAAATTTAAATGCAAGGCACAAAATGAATGGTCTGTAGAGATGAAGCCTTCATATTTTTCCCCTCAGAATCAATCACGGACAGGGGGAGAGGAACGTGATCCTCCACAAACAGACCATGAGCAGTCACCACCATAGTTACACGGCGCGGTGACCCCACTAAAGAGATTAAAGCCTTTGGAAGCCCCGACTGAAGCAGCACAGAAATGCTCCGTGCTGCGGGTGCAGAGGAGTCTCCCGCACCGCAGCCTGACAGCTCCTGCGGCCACTGTGCCTGAGAGCCCGCAAGGAAACCGCGCCCTACCCCCTGCCCCAAAGTATTAAATCCTCTTACCATCTTTTTTCACCCAGGACATAGCTGTTTTCTCAGACGTTACTAACTGACAGAACTTATCGCCTATGATATCTAAAATGTATTTAGAAGTTTCGAGGTCCAGTTCATCATCTTCATAGTTTTCATGTGTCCATAAACTCAGTGCTTCATCATCATATTGATCAGGAGAGGAGAAACCATCTATCCTAACCACTCCGTTCTTACTGAAAGATAACCTAGAAATGAAAACCGACTGTTTAAACAAAACATTTTCGTAACAGCTTCTTTTCTCACCTTTAAAATAGCTCAAGGTTTTCTTGTGACCCTATAGGACCCCATTCTGCCACCCTCACCCTTATATTTAGCCTATTTTTAAGGAGCAGCAATTAATTATTCCATCTTGCAGAACACAGGAATACACTTAAAGTTTTAGTGTCCTGAGTTCAGGACTAAGAAATACCAAAATGATATACAGATGTATCATATATCTGATGAACAAGTAGAAGAAAAAAATTACAAGTTTTCATTTAAAGAAAGGTACACAACAGTGTAAACCTCATATGCAATTCAAGTCCTACTATCTAAAGGCAACGAAAATAATTACAACTATATAAAATACAACTGCAAATTTGAAACATTCCCAATTTTAAATTCCATCACTGTGTTTAAAATCTTGGCAAAACTTATCACTGATGTTATCCGTTTTGCATAGGAGAAAAACCTAAAAACGTAACATCACCAAATGCCACTTTTGGAAGCAACTATTTTAATGTATAAAAATACTGTGAATGCGACTTGAAATGATTCCTGAAGGACTGCAGAGTTTCATAACTTAAGCTTCATTCGAAAGAAATGAAACTCAACCTGGGGACAGCAATTTCCTGTCCAAACTGTGTTAAATGTATATTGGCAAGACAGCGCATGTGAAAATCAGGGCCGTTTTGTTCCGCGTCCATAGCTGCACTGCACGCACCACCGAGGCCGTGCTGCATTCTGGGATACTGTTTTTCTGAATTATGAAATCTCCTTGATTGGCCTCAATTGTGAGAAAGGAGGTCAGAACTCCCCTGTCCTCAGAAAACTCCCGGCAAGCATTCCCACAGCACACTGGCATCGCAGCAGTGGCGCATTCGGGCAGCTCTGCGGTTGTGCAGCTCGTCCGGGATAATTGCAGCTTGCCTTTGGAAAATCCCTCCTCATATGGAAGGCACCTGGGTAATGGGGATGCATAAATGTTTCTGCTTGCCTAAGGTGCACTGGGCAGCCCTTCTGATCTTTGCTACAAAGCTTCAAACAGCAATAGGGTTGATTCACAAAAGCATTAATAAATAAAATTTAAATATTATTGAATTAGGCAGTATCTATATCAGGCTGATTTAGCCAGAAAACAGACAAGCTTTCAGGCATGCAAAACCTCTGTCAGTATTATTTTCCAAAGCTAAAACATCACATATCAGGAAACAGCTGTACTTACCGTCGAAAGTAATAAAATCTACAAAATACTGGTGAGTGAGTTGATTCTTCACCTTTCTTACTTCTTATTAACCTACATTCTCTGCATTTTTGCAAATTCGGTCCTATTTCAGAACAAGAATCATCCTGCAAAAAGGACTCTCCTGTTTGCTTCAGCTTCTTTACTTTGCGCCAATCTTTTAATACTGAGCGGGGTATTCCAGCTGCAAAACAACAAGAATTTCAGCAGAGGCCCTGGGAAACCCTTCTATTTAGCCCCACTTAGACCAGTAAGCATCCAACCCTTCTCAACTTTCATTTGTTCACCTTTCAGCACTGAAGTTTAAAAAACTGTTATTACCAAGTAGAACCATACATGCTTAACTACCTGCTGAGCCCAAAGAATACTAGGGATGCAATATTTTCTCTTATGTGAACTGTTTTACCAAATGTTCTGCTAAAACTACCTTCAGAACATCACTCAAACAACTGAAGAAATTTAACACCCCAAGAAAGAAAGGTTTTAATTTTGTTTCAAGTGAAAATGTATGCAAAAGAGTTAATGAATGAAAGAGGGAAAAAAAAAAAGTCCTGTGTCTTCAAAACTTATTTTTGCTGAGGGTTACAGAGATATAATTATGGAAGAGTAGTTCTCTTCACACAACTCAACTGTGCTTAATGTAAAATATCAGCCAAAAAGAAGAGACTCCATCAACTCCCTTCCAAGCCTGCTAGCTTTGCAAGGCTAAACAGCAAATTCTGTTTTTGAGATGAAAGAGAGCAGGTCTGACGCGGAGCAACACAAGGAGCAGATCTCGAGCAACATGTGCCATTTGTGCGTACGCGTTTCAAAACCGAGTCGTGCTGTTGTTCAAGGAGGCGCTCTCTGCCGCCTTGGTGAGCCGGGAGACAGGCCCGCGTGCGCACGGGCAGCGGGGCTGCGCCTGCCGCGGGACCCGCCGGCACGCTGCTCACGTTGGACTCGGGTCCTGCTGCCTTTTGCCGCCGGCCCTTTGCCAGGCCGCGGGTGCCAGGCCTCGGGAGCGCCTCCCACTGCGCTCCCAGCTCATCCGAGCAGCGCGGGGCCAACCGCAGTCACGCTCGAGAGCGGAACAGCCAAAGCGGCGCTCTGCGAGTCCAGCAAACGTTGCCTGCGTGGAACCAGAGCTCCTGGCACTTGTGTAGGCGCTGGCAGCGCCGGCGCCCGGCCGAGGACTTGGACGCGCCGGCACTCGCGGGCTGGGGACATTCCTGGCCTCGCGGAGGGTGCCAGCAGCTCCACGCGCCCTGCCCGGAGCAGCGCTGGGACAAAGCAGCTTTCAGGCCCGCCAGCACGGAGCTACCACCCACGCGCGGAGCCTCCCCCGGGAGCCGGGCTCTCTCCCACCTCCCACGCGGAGTGCAGCGCGGCCACCTCCCTCCGGGTAGCTTTTCCAAGCTGAGAGTGTTTTTGGAGCAATCCTTGTGGAAAGTCGAGTTCAGAGGAAAATCTCTGTGCAGCTCTTTCTCAGAAACTGATCTAGCAAAGCTCGCCCAAGATAAACAGATAGGAAGATCAGAAATAGCAGCCTGTGAGAAGAGGCAAGCAGGAAGAGTCAAGAAGGCAGCTCAGCTGGGATGCAGGAGAGGAAGGAGCTGCTCCCAAGGGCAGGCCCATCTCCTGACCTACAATACCTGCTCTGTGCTACTTGCAGCACAACGCGCTATACCTGAAATCCATTTTCAGACCTAGTCCTATGAAACTATACCATCAAGTACTATCATATACTGCTCTTACATTCAGGTAACACTAGACAAAACAAGAGACTGCCCTTTCTTATCAATCCTTCTACAGCAAGCCCATAAAAATATGCTGTGACAACACCAAAATCATGAAGAGCTAGCACATTACATACCCACACACATCTATAGGTGTGTATATATAAAACATCTATACTTCACCTGAAAAAGGTGAAGCTGAGTAAGACTTAAGAGAAATTTCAAAGGCATGTTCTCTTTCATCTTCATTTTTATTTATTTATTTTTTTAAAAAACTATATATATATAATTACAATACTATCATTGGACCAGGGCCAAGCTACCTCAGGCTGCAACACTGTCAGGACCCAATACATCCTAGGCATCAAGTATTCTAATGTACGAGTAGAGTCAATGCTTCACCAGAGTCTGCTTTATACAGCAGGCAGTGCAATGCCAAAAATATAACTACAGGGAGAAGTACCCATTCTCTAACTAACTGTACTTGAAATCCTACAAAAACTAATTCAATCTTTGACTTTCTCATACCGAACCAAAATAAATACCAAAGAATTCTCCTTAGAGAAGAATAAATTAGGATAAAATATAAGGTAGCTCTTAAAATCTCTCATGTTGCTAGACTAGTTTCTTCTCAGATAAATCTTAATTATAATCCTGTACCCGCAACAGCATTACAACACTTAAAATGAGATAGGTATTTCCCTGAAGTTTTTACTCCCTAAAACAAGAGGGATGTTAAGAGCACGAAACAGGCATGCAAGCTGAGGGCTAAAATAACTCTCCCTCCGACCTTTCACCAATTTAATCTAATCATAATGGAGTGGCATCAGGCCATCAAGGAACTGCCCCTGGCCTTGTGGTCAGAGCAGGAATTAAAGTTCCCCGATAGAGAACCTCTCCCTCAAAGTCAATACAAGCGGCACAACTACATGCATGCCGTCCATCACCACGCAACGTGCTGGTAAACCACTTCATTTATCGTTTACATTTAGGCCAAGAAACAGTTTTGTTAACACACATGTAAAAACAAAAGAACTGCACTTCTTAAACCAGAGTATTTCAGATAGCCTCAAGATGGACAAATCCAGGATTCATCCTTTGTACTCATTTTCACGAGCGTGCTTTTTAACAGTTTTCATTCTCCAGCTATTACTCATGACAAACCCTCCACGATTAGCACTGTTAGAGCTCCCATCAGTTTAACATCCTTTGCCAAACAAATGAGCATACTCACTGCTAGTACTGCTGCTCTGTAGCTTCAGCTTGCTTTTTTCTTTGGCGCTCCTGCTAAGAACACCATTCGGTTTTACTTCTTCCTCTGCATCACCCTTTTTTTTCTGCAAATCGTTTTGTTTCTTTTTGTAAGTTGGCTTGGGCTGCCGTTTAGTCCTTTGCTCTGACTTGCTCTCGCTTTCATCAGAATCTCCGCTTTCAGAGCCAGACTCATAAGTTCTTTTTGCTTTTCTCCTAGGGTGCTTATCTTCTTTCACAAACTTATCTGCCAGGATTTTACTATCTATGTTATTTTGCAAATCATTTGATGTAGAAGCTATTAAATTGACAGTACATGGCTTAATAATTTCTGAAACACTGTTCCCTGAATTCTCTTTTTTATTAGTGTTTTTATCTTCCTCTGAATGTCTTGTTAGCCAAGCCTTTTTCAGCTTAGTGTGGTAGTTTGGCTGACTTGTCTGGGAAGTCTGCCCACTGCCTACAGAGTTTGCTTTGTTTATTGTACTACAGACGATAGCAGTGTCTAGGGCGAGCGAGGTGGAAAACGTCTGATTTTTCGCAGCGTTGGCCTCGGCCTCGCTGGCATTACTGCTTTTGAACTGCGCCGCGGCCAACGCCGCCTTGTGCTTTTTCAAGTGGACGAAGTCGGCGGAGGCGGAGAAGCCCGGGCCGGGCTGCGTGGCTTTGGTGCCGCCGGGCGCAGCCGGAGCGGCGGCCCTGCCACCCGGGCCCTGAAAAAAAAAGGCGGTTACGTCCGCTTTGGTACTGCAGTTCACGGCCGTGGTGGGGGTGACGGCACTAGGAAGGCTGCCTTGTGAGACAGCTGGAAATTTCTTCTCATACTGTGTGCGAGTGCTGTCTGAGTTCATATTTGGCAGAATGACTCTCCCAGTCTCTCTGGCTTCCGCTGTTTTCAGGCAATCTGTTTGATTTGTCACAGCTGAAGCTCTCTCGCTAGCTCGATCCTTGGAAGCGTGCTGCATCACCGCTGCGCCGTCGTGTTTCGTACTCGAAGGAGGACGCACAATAACAGACGCTGTAGCCGACTGGGACTTTCCACTCATTCTTTCAGCGTGCCAGTCCACTTTCTCATTGTTTGGGGCGTTATTCGCCTTCCATACTTCTGACAGATTTTGCTCAGAAACACCCTTATAACCTGTCTGAGCTTCCTTGGGTTCAGGTACTAAAGTGGGAGGCTTTTGTAATTCCTGTATTTTGCCACCACCAGCGTTAACAGGTTGAACGGGAGTTAGAGTTGGAGGGGACAGGCTGCTGTAGCTGCTTTCCTTCTTCTCCAGGTTGTGGTGAACCGGGGGGTGAAACACGGGGGCTCTGTGCAAGGCGGGCATACTCCGGAGTGTGTTGGAAGATGACACTGACAGTTGAGTAGGGCTCCTGCTGTCACTCCTAAAAGAAGTCACTGAGTGAGACTGCACTGACTGCGAAAGCTGCTCAGCTATCTTGCTTGCAGAGCCTTCGCCCTCTGGTTGGTGCTTTATTAAAGGGGGAGGTTTGGAAAGAGAGGAGATGTATGAAGGGAGAGACTGGGGACTCGCTGCTGTTGAGGGACAATTAGTCTGTTTATCAACATAGGCAGTTGAAGCCTCCTTGGATGGGTAGGACCTTGGCGGTTCATTGACGACGCTGTTAGACAGGGTGGTGAAATAGTTACTCTGTGGCAAACTCTGCGGAACCGAATGCTTCATTTTATACAGTTCTGATACAGAACGCTCCGCATCTTTTTCATATTTTACTGAATGGCTTTTGGGACTTGAAGATAAGGACGTTACCCTGGAATAGTTCTCTCTCTCCCCCTCCAGTGCCTTTATTTTAGCTGTAAAAGGAGCAACCTCGATGCTTTCCTGAAGTATTCGCCTGTGTTCTTCTTTATATTTGCTTAGTCGCTCCCCAGTCTCCTGTGGTGGCCTTGGCAGCTGGTTCAGCATTGGATCTGCAAAATGTCTGTGCATATGGCTGTCCTTTGTGGTCTGCGCTCTGCTCGGCTCCAGCTCCGTCTTTATGGGCGCAGTTGTAACAGAGCGTAAAGGTTCAATGAACGCTTTCCTCTCCAGTTCTCTGTTTGGAAAAGGTTAAGCAGACACAGTTTAGTCTGACTGGACTGCAACAAGCTAAACAGGACCTTTCTTCCCCTGCTCCGAAGTTATTTATTAACACAAAATAAACTTCTCTTTCTATTAGGTACTGTTTTCTTAAGTTTTCAGATGACCTGGGAACTCAAGCACCATTGACATTTAACAGGGCAAAGTCCGTTTGGCACGCTGACAAGTTTTCCTACAACACCCATGGCAGCCGCACTTACAACTAAGCTAAAAGACAACACGACACAGAGCGAACTTACTCTTTGTGATGCTCTGCTATGCTCTTGGACAGCGGTGGGCTAGAGTGTGTCGTCAGCTTGAGAGGCCGCAGGGGATCCGCGCTGGACGGTCTCACAGGAATGTGACTCAGTAAGCCGAGGCCGTCGGCTGAGGTCACCGGGGCGGGCTGGTGCAGCCACGGGCTCGGGGTATTCTGTTAACAGCAACCAAACCAAGCCAAAAAAATCATATTTCAAAATAGTCATGGGATCTTCTGCAGAGCAGTGCAAGAGATACTGTATGTCACATCCTACCAACGATCAGAACGAAGTAATACATTTCAGCATCACATTGCATACGGTAAATAAAGTGTAACTTTGTAAGTTACTTTTGCATGAACTGGGACATTTCTCCATACTCCTCTCCAGATGTGCGGCACACAGAATAGACCAAATAGTTAACACAATCCCCAAGCAATAATCCATAGTTCCTAGAACAGTTTAACTGTAAAGTATTTGGCATGAACATGCCATTTCTTGAAGCCATTGCTAGACTTCAAGGTCTTTTGTTAGCAGACCAGTGGCAGTCTGACAGCACTTCACTTACTAGCAAACAGACCAGAATTCGCAAGGCTTTTGCTTTTAAAAGACACATAGGCTCAATATTTATTGTAAGCAATTGCATCTGAAACTATAAAACAAACTCCAATATAAGGGGTATAGACAGCTCTTTCCTGGCTGCTTCCTCCTTTCCCTTCCAAGGAGGATTAATCCTAATTGATTGCTTTATTTGGCCAAATAATTTCATATAGCATCATTTCACATTTCATCATTCATTAAAAAATTAACTCTGCTATGGCACCTTTGCACCACATACCTAAGGACTCAATAGTCAGGCAATACTGATTATTAGCCAGGTCTTAACCACCTCCTCATTTACACACACCGCAACTGCCTTAACGATTCCCTTTCAAAGCAAGCTGACTGCTTGGGAAGCTCCCATTTGCCTATCTTTCCTGCCATTTCTGAGACAGCCTGTGAACCAGATCAGCAGCTGTTCTCAGTCTTGCCTCCTCTTTCATCTTCCAGACGGAGAGCTGCTTACAGGCACCCGCGCTGCCTGGCGCGTGACGAGCAGAGCACCAGCGGCTCCCGCGTCCCAGGGCCTCGGCGCGCCGCTCCCCGCCAGCCCCTGGATGTGCTGCCCGCCCGGGACTGCCCGTGGGGCACTGCTGCAGGAGGAGCGCACCAACGCGAGCCCTCGCGCCACAGCACACCAAACCGATCCACAGCTGCTCCAGCTTTGAAGTTCTCCTCTCTAGACTTCTGAATATTTAAATCAACCTCTTGGGTTTTGCACTAACACTTTTAGGACGTGCATTTCCTACGCCAGGAGTTCCCACACCATGGTGAGTTCCCACGAATCCCTTGTAAGCTGCATTAAGGTATTATGCAAAAGAGGCCCGTCACCTTCTCCCAAGAGGAGGCCGGGAGCACCTGCCGAGCAGCCTCCCGTCCTTGGAGAGCGGCACCCACGGCAGCAGCCGCTCCGCCACACAGGAGCTGCCAGCGTGGGCTCGGGGACACGCTTCCTTCCTCGGGCACGTCCCAGCGTGAGGGGCTGCTGCCGCCGGCAGGGCGAGGGCCGGCTCCCGCGGCTCCCTCTCCGCGGGACGGCAATCGGGCAAGCTGCTTTCGGGAACGCCCAGCGCCAGGCTCTGAAGATGTATTTAGAAAAGGCCTCCAGTGCTGGAGCCAGAAGACAAGTCACCACAAGACAATTGCCACATATCAACATAATTAAAAAGCTACGTGCCTCAGTATGCAAGGCTGCATACTTCAGGCAGCCAAAGCCAGAACAGTCTATCTTAACTCCTCCAAACGGACTTCAGTAGGGGGTAGAGCAGGCAGCAACATGACAAGATGAATTCACCTATAGTTGTCTTGTAGGCTTTTTATCCCTGTTGCATTTGGCTTTATCTCATTTTAGATCAAACTGTCTTCATATTACAAGGCCAGCTCAAACCGAATGCTTGGGAAGATGCAGCCACAATGGTTTGGCTATTCCCAAGGACGAGGCTGGGGAAGATTAGTTTTTTCCACGATATAAAATAAAAACACTCCCTGCCACCCGCAGCTTCACAACCCCTCAGAAGCTCCCAGCCTCGCTGGTTTGGCAGCAGGACCAGGGCAAGCAACGTGCCCGCTGGGGGCCCCAGGAGCATCTGCCCAAACCAGGCCAAGCTGCAGGCGTGCAGAATTGGGCCGCACGTGCTCAGGGGAGCGCTGAGCTTTGATCGAAGCTGGCAGCACAACTCTCCAAGGCTCCTGCCAGAACGGCACCGTTCCTACAAGGTGCCTGCAAGGAGCAGGCTGTCTCCAAGCCTGCAGGAGCTGAGAAAACTTCCTCGGAATTGCTGTGCCTGCCTGCCAACCACCACCGCAGCAGCACTGCAAACTGAGCTGGAAAGCACAAACGATTCCCCCCGAGACTTCACTGGTTATACGCAGCGCAGGGACAGAGGAATCACCCTGACCTCAATACAGCGGAGTAGAAATCAGATACGAAGGCAGGGATGTGTGTAAATAGGAACAGAAGGGAAGAAAAAAAGATGAGCCAAGAGAAGGTACACAAATAGGTGTAAAGTAGGGCCAGAGACAGAGGTAGACAGAAAGATCTATCAGTGCTACAGGATATTTCTCTTCCCACCTTCTAACTGAATTTGGGATTCCTTCGGGGTCAGCCTCCCCCCATTATTCAACATACATAGGAAAATTAACTAGGAAGATTAATTCCTTCCATTCTTTTAACCCATCTGCTGTTTTCCATAGTTTAAAATAACAAATATTCACCCAGTGGACTTAAGGTCTCAAACCAGCTGGCTGACCTCACTTGGTCATAAGCTTAAAACCTAAACACTTTGTCTCACTTTAAAACATTCAGGAAATCAAAGTCTTGGAAGACTCTACTCTTGCACACTGTGAAACAGCAGCATTGCTGGATTTCCATTTTTAGTTCTAGGTCTGTGCAAAAGCCCAACCGTACTCCGTACTGCATATGGTCAATGACACAGAGGACTACCAAGCTTGCACCTAGAACATTACCACTGAGGACACACTGGGCTCAGCTAAAAATGCAATTAAATCAACACAACTTACCCTTCTCAAGGAAGCCTCTGCGTTAACAGGAGTTTCAGGGTGGACCCATTTCGAGGAGGGCAGACCGAGTCCTGAGTAAGCATGTGTCCCGTTTGGGTACTGCCAAATAATTGGATAAAGCCCTAGCTGATTATAGGAAGCAGAAGGATGAGCTTGTCCAAGAAGATGTGGAGACTGGTGTTGTAACATCTGCTGCTGCTGCTGGTGTGCTAATGCCAAGTGGCTTAGGCTGCTAGCGTGAGCAGTCTCTAGTCGCGGGTGGCCGCCCAGCAAGGAGGCGGCAGGCACTCCGGGCAACACTGCGGGAAGTAGATGGGGGTGATGAACAGAATGGTGAGGTGCCGTACTAAGAGGATGAGTGTTAATAGCGGACAGTGGAGTCTGAGTGGAAGACCCAGATAACAGATGGGATGAACCAGATAATGCAGGATGATGAGCATTTGGATTTAAACAGGTTCGGTGGGATGAGGAATGCAGAGGATAATTATGCTGATGCAAATAAGGTGAAATGTGATTAGCTCCTGTTTCTTGTCCAATCAGAGTGGGGTCCCTGTACACTGTGAAATGTTCGTTCTTGTCAATGATAAGAGGACTTTTAGTAGTCTCTAGAGCACTAACTCTAGCTGGAACTGGATGGAAGCTAGACCTTGGCAAATCATGCTCAGTTTTATTGGCTGACCTTGTTAATCCAGTGGCATGGCTATTTTGGGAACTAACCTTAGACTTCACAGTATCAGAAGATTGGGTGAATTTAGGCTTAACATCAGGTGACTTTGTTTTAGGACGATCAACTGAAGCACTAGGTTTTGACTTCACAGAATCAGGGACTGGACTTTGCTTATGTAGTTTACTTTCTTCTGCTAAACAAGCTACATTTAATGAAGGTATAAACGAGCCATGCGGCACTTTTTCTTTTTCAGGATTCAAATGTTCAGTTACTGATAAGCTTTTCACAACCCCAGGTTGTATCAAATTTGTCTTGTTAACAACATTGCTCACCCAACTTTGATCAGTTTCCTGTTTTCTTGTTTCAAGAAAATTTGCATTTGCAAACTGTTGTTTTAAATCACTGCTGTGTGATTCCATTTTCTGAACTGTCTGCAAACCAAAGCTACTTGCAGCATTATCCTGGCTCTCCTTCTCAGAGCTGTTTACATTAGTTTTATCAACAACACATTTTGGAGTAGGAGGTCTGGGTACAAACTGCTCTTTTTTTAATTCCACAGTATGATGTTTTTCTGCGCTGCACTCTTGCACATGTGGATCCTTGGCATTCTGCTCATAAGGTGTTGGCTGCTCTGCTGCATGGAGT